AAAAAAAACCCCCCCCCCCCCCCCCGACCAGCAGTTGTATGTAAAATATCATAGTTATCTGGGCGGAATACAGCAACCTGTGAAAGAGGTATACTTCTCACTGTGTCATTGTGATTTTTCTATATCAAGATAGATAGATAGTTTACATTTTTGCTGCTGGCCACTCCCGATATACCTGTCGCAGGTGAGGAGTTCTCATCCAGGTGAAACAAAAGCTTATCTGCCATGATGCAACACACATTCAGTATTCATCTTACAAGCTGTGCTGTCATTCCTGGGGGTCATATCTGCATTCAGATTGGCATGCATTGCATGGTATGGTCATTAAAAAAAAAAGTTAATGGGGCGTATTCATTTATATTATCAACTGCTCATTGTAAATCAATATCCTGCTTTTTACCAGAGTAGTCCACCCAAAGTGGGGTCTTCTAAATCTTTACCCACTAGCTTATTACTTCAAATGCAGGGAAGACTAATTATACCCCCTAGTTCTCACTTGAAGCATTTTTTTTGTATTTTCTTACACTTTTTGGTTCTGAGTAAGAATGCTCAGGGAGGTGTCTCATTGACTTTCATGGGAAGAGTATTGGACCTTTTGTACACAGACAAGGGTGAGGGCTGGTAGTTAATCTAAGAACCTTTGGTGTCTTTCAAACAGTGTGCTTCCTTGCTAAATGACTGCTGTGAGACTATCAATGAATAAAATATCGATAGGAAAGACGAAGATGTCCATATGTAGTGGAACTATAATTCCCAGTCAGCGGCCTGGCTGGTGATATAAAATCTTTGCTGGGACTTTTAGTACTGCAGGATTAGGTGTATTGACAGTGCGCTCTCCATAGCTCTGCAGTAAGATAAAAGAAGTAGTAAAGCAAAAGACTGATTGCTGTTATCATTCTAAAACTTTATACTTTGTGAAATAAATTAAGACATTTTAAAACCTGCACTATTATTATCATATATCAAATGCCTTGCAGCATTGTCTATCTGTATAGAAAACATTTATTTTTACGCATGTGTGTCACGCTTGCTGAATGGTCCACCAAGATAGCAAAGATGGGTGAGCCATTTCCCGTGGCACCACTAGGACTTCCTAAAGCAGCACATCATGTGGTCCTGAAATCTTGTCTTCTGCCACAAAATACACTGTACAGCACTGCACTGCATGCAATTGCTGTTTGTGGCATAAAAAAGCTGAGCTTGTGTTCCAGGGCCTCCCAACAGGGCCTGTGTAGAGGGACATTGCTAAAGGAGAGGTAATGCTGTTCCACACTGGTAAGGCACCATAAGCAACATTTGTGTCAGAAGACAAGCTTTCAGGAGCACATGATGTGCTGCTTCAGGAAGTCCTAGTGGTACCACAGGAAATAGCTCACCCACCAGTAGCGATGCACCGATACCGGTTTTTTAGTAACATGTACCAATATTTTTTATTTTTTTGGTACTCATCAATACCGAATACTGATATTGGAAGTCCCACTAAGGAAGCCGGGCAGCGTGTAATGATTCGCCACCTGGCTTCCCGATTAGCCTGGAAGCCGTCTCCATGCTCCCTCATCACCAGGTGACAAGGAAGCGGCTTTCTGGATAATCAGGAAGCCGGGCGGTGAGTCATTACCTGACCCCCCCCCCCCCCCCGCATTCCTGATTGGCCAGCTCCCCGACCACTCAGGAAGCCGGGTGGTGAGTCATTACACAGCGCCTGGCTTCCTGATTGGCTACCACCAGGTGACAAGGAAGCATGGAGCCGGCTTTCCGTCCAATCAGGAAGCCAGCGGGCAGGTAATGACTCCCCCGCCTCGGCTTACTGATTGGCCAGCTTCCCGACCAATCAGGAAAAATGAAGACTTGCAGGCATGCATCTTTGATGATCACAGAAGCCAGAAGGTCTCCCTGATTTCGGGAGGCTATGACAGACCTGCTGGATTCCATTCAGAATTTTTTAGCCTGAATTAAGATATTTAGGACCTTGAGGTCCAAGATGAGGCAGATGCGCTCCTCTGCTTTGAGAACTGTGAGCTCGTTGGAGTAAGACTCCTGGTACCGTTCTGCCACAGGGACAGTGACAATGCCGCTCTACTCCAGAAGACCCGCCAGGGCTGCACGGTGATCTGCTAATCTGTCTGGCAACACAGGCAGGTTGAAAGTAACTAATTAGGGAGGGGGCTAGGAGCAAACCTCTAGCTAGTCACCTGAAACCTCCTCCTGCAGCTGTCCTGAAACCTCCTCCTGCAGCCATGCATATGAGGTGCTGTTTGTCCAAGTGTCCACAAAGGCCGATAGAAGCCACCCACCACCCCAATTTGGAAAATGGCGGCGCCACCCTCATTTTGAAGAAGATTGAGTCTTTGGGTGACTTGAAAGTCTAGGATTTGCAATGTGAACTGGGTGCCAAACTTGACTTGGGGGTTAAGGATGAGAAATGACATAAGGGGCTCTTCTTGTCCTCCGTCAAAGGGCAAGTCTTCCCAGACTGAGCCCTAGGCTTAATCTGCAGGGTACTTTTGCCACTGATGACATCCTTGATAAGGGCATTAAGGGGAGTCCTGAAGAGGCATTGTCCCTGGAAAGAACATGCAAAGCCAGAGCCTTTTACATGCCTACTCTGCAAAGTGATGGGAAATCCCCTCTGACGTAGTGTTCCCACTGGGAGATCAACATCGGTGTTAAATCACAAATGAAATATTTTGGATTTCCAAATCACTTTAAGCCACCATAACAAATATAGAAGTTGAATCTAGCCAACAGGGATATAGGCAGAAATAAAAACCTGACCGAGGTTCCCTTTAAATGTAAACTCCATGTGCACTTTTCTGTATTTGCATTGTTAGATGATCAGATTTGAAGTTCTTTATACCGCCACCACAAAGAAACTATATAATCCCAACACAGGAACATTCTCTTCCTGACTACTATGAGTGTTGCGCATAGCTGCCCTCTAATTCTGGCGTACGTCAGGGTCCTCTCCCCTCCACTCTTCTCAGTCCTGTGCCTGGCTCCATTCCTGTCCCCATCTTCTGTCTCTCTACGCTAATTAGAGCGGACAGCCGCTGTGCTTGTGAGCTGCTGCTCTGCGGAGTGCTGCAGCCCCCCTGCGCTCTGCAGGACTGGCCATGCTCTGCCTGAGACTGTCACATCTCATCCATCAGTAAAGATCCCTGCGGGGGCCTCATATTTGTACCCAGTAAACATCATGTATTCTGCAACCTGGGCACACGAGGAGAGAGACAGAGAGAGACACACAGACAGGAAGACAAAGGGAACAGGCTAACATATACAGATGGAAGAAGACTATATAAAGCATTAGTAACATCACTGCTGTTCTGTCTCACACTGCACTGGGGCATCTGTGTTGCCTATGGCAACTGCTTGTCAACTGATAGAATTGTTTGACAAGCATCTACTTCAAGGGGAAGCTTTTATACGAGCACCTGAAGACATCTCATAGTGATATAATATTATTAAAGAATATTTAAATCCAATCACTGCAAAAAGCTTGGAGTTTGAGTTATACACTTCCTTAAAGATGCAAGCTTTCGGGATTCCTTAAATCCCCTTGTCAGGCATTATACATTTCTCTGAAATCTATAAATCCTGATGAAGGGATCTAAGGAAATCCAAAAGCTTGAATCATTAATAACTTAAAGGAGAACTATGGGGTAAGTGTTTTTCCCCATAGTTCTTCTAAGGGTCACGGGAGGACATAAACTAGCGTCCCCCCGTTACCCTAAGCTCAGTATACTGAGACCGCCGCAGCCGGGACGGATCCCGTCATTACTGACAAGATTCACCCAGCTGCGTGATTGACAGCTGGCTCCGCCTATCTAGAGGCATAGTCAGCTGTACCCGCCCCCTGCCCGTCCATTCCACCAGAATCCCTGCATGGAGCTGTGAGTGTCAGTCACGGCTCTCTGCAGGAACATGATCGAGAAGTGAGCGAGCGTCGGTATGTGCTCGCACACTTGCCGATGTATTGAGCCTACGCGTTTCATTGTCACACGTCGGCTCGAACTATGAGGCTGAGTGAAAATCACTCACCTCATAGTTCTCCTTTAAGTTAGTCACTGAAGGGGGGCAGGATTTTTCTTGAAGCAGTACACCAAATATAATCTTTATATATAAACTTTATTATATATATGATAACATTATTTAAGTATGCAAAGTAGTCATACAGCTGTTGTCAAGTTAACTGAGGCATACTGACACTACTAAATATGGCCTGGGCATCACGGCATTAATGTCCTCTGGTCAAAAAAGGGTTCGTTTTATAGTATTTACTGAAGGATACTCACATGGATGCAGTCCCGGGGGTGGCACAATACTCATCGGCACACTCGCATATCCCCCGCAGAGTCCTCACTAGAAAATACAAACATACAAGCATATCAGTAAATATTACAGTGACTGCAGGTATGTCCAGATAGATACTCTACTTGCTAATACTGGTATATCCCATCTACCAATAACCCAAGGACCCTGAAGACATCTGGGATAAATCTCTAAATCTGTGGAGGACGGGGGGGGGATTTTGTAGAATAACAGACATCTTTCTGTAATTTAGGTCTTTGATGCATCATATACGGCATTGGCTGGCCCTCTTGATACACCATATGGCCAAAAGTCCAGGGACACCTGACCATCACACTTTAATAAACTTGTTGGACATCCCATGACAATGAATATGGAGCTGCTTTTACCAATTGCAACTATCTAACAGTCTCCACTCCTCTGAGAAGGCACAAGATTATGGACTGTGCCTGTGGGAATGTATGCCAACTCAGCCAAAAGAGATCTTGTGAGATCAGGTACTGATGTCAGCTATAAAGACCTGGCTCCCAATTGGTGTTCACCAAGTAGGGACTGTCCAAGACCATGCACTGGTAAAAACAGTCGCCCATGGCAGCTTCCATATATGTGCCCTCAGAGGTCTACTTTAATCTACAGTAGCAAGTTCGACATGTTGCCCCTCCATAGGGTAAAACATGGTACTGCAGCACAGCCATAGGGATTTCCATTTCAATAGGAGGCCCCCTTTAAACACTGGTTTGCTTACCAATACACTCCAGCTTCCTGTGTGGGGTATACTGATTGGTCAGTTGTTCTAGATCTTCTGTGGCTAATCTGTATGGGTCAATGATGTCCTGAGGGTACAGGCGTTTGGGTACCCCCACTACAGATGGTGGTGCTGTGCTGTATAACTCCATGACCTGGAGGAGAGATTCTTCCCGCACAGAGAGAACCTGTCTGAGAAAAGTGAAACAAAGGCTTACATTAAAATGCACAGCCATGGCAACAATAATCTTCATACAGCACTTCAAAGATGTCCTGTCCTCATGCCCATACGACTGTCTCACCGATTTTCTCAGATGTCCACATGGAGCTTACAGGCAAAATACAGGCATTCCTATTTGCACTGCAGCCAATCAGCTTCTCTCTCTCATTTTCAAATCTTTCCTGAGCAAATTTAAGAGATCCTGATTGCTGAACTGCTACAGATTCTGTTTGGCCCTGTTTTGATACATTCCCCCCAGAGTTTCTACAGAACAAGTGCTGGAAAGAATCATTCTCTACTCTATTTAAAACTAAAAAAAGGCCAGAGTTTAGGAAACATATGAGTGGTGCTGTTACCTGTAAAGAGCCAGTAGTGCCGGCCATAGAGGAGGAAAGAAGCTTTCATCTAAGCACTCCAGGCACACATCCTTTACTTGTGGCGTTGTGGGAAGATCCAGAGACAGCATGGACGAAGACACAAACGAGTCTGGAGAGTGGAGACACAATGAAGTGTAAAAAATATATCTATATGGCAAAATCTATGCTAAAATTTATGACAGGATATGCGTTAAAGGTTAGGTAGGGTATACACAGTTCAATTTGTTTCATTCAACTAGAGCTGCAACAACTAATCAACTAAATCGATAATAATCGATTATGAGAATAGTTGGCAACGGGGGGGAGAGGAAGAGGTGAGAGAGAGGGAGATAGAGATGAGAGGTGTGAGAGAGATGAGAGGTGAGAGGGAGGTGAGGGAGAGTTTTTTTTATACAACCAATCGATTAGTCGAAAAAATTAATCGGGTAACTAATCGATTATGAAAATAATAGTTAGCTGCAGCCCTACATTCAACACTGTGTATAGGGAAAGGGCTTACGTGAGATGTAGTTCTGGGGGTGTTCTTTCATTAATAGGAACTGAGCTCTCCCAATACATGGCTTTTTGGGGGTTAATGCCTGGACATTTTAGTTTATTAGATATTTAATTATATTTGATGCCTAATTTGCTAATTTGAGACATTCTGGAGTGCTAAAGCAGTATAAACCTCAGACACCAAACCAATGCAGAGCAGAGCTGATTTGGTGTAGGTCACATACATCAAAACGGGAAATCACCTGCACTCCATACAGCATATAGACCTTCGCAAAGAATTGGTGCTTGAAGTGACAACACGGATGGCGCCATGTCAGATACAGTCCACAATAGAAGTCACCAGCACTCGATGATGCGTGCAAAGTTTGCACGCATCATCGAGTGCTGGCGACTTCTATTGTGGTCACATATATCAAAGACATCGGTTATTTCTCTTTCTCACAATCTGATATCGACTATTACTGCCCTATACCAAATAAATCTATTGCCGCCTGTACAGAATGGCAACAGTCGCTTAGCAGCCGGGTAGCATGAACAGATGATGGATGCAGTTATGCTGACTTAATTCAGGCCATAGTCATGCAGACGGGTTTCCATGGCAACGTATGTCTTACAATGCACAGTGTCTGATAATGTTTATAGATGAAATAATCCAACCTTGGAGCTGAAAAGCAGACAGTTATAAAGAACATATCACCCTTTTCATCCAGACAGATATAAACTGGTCACCAATCTTCTGTAATTAAAACAACCAGAGCCTAGGATGGCTCAAAGATGCTTAAGCAAAGGTTACCTACAGTGAAGACCGCAAGTCTACAGTATGTGATTACTAGCTCCTGAGATAAGGCCAGGTAAAGTCATAGTCAAACCAGTTCCCTCCCCTCCTGTATTGGTCCTCTAATGTTGTGGGTGGCCTCACTAACCAATTGGGGGTGTCAGAAAGTTTGGCAGAGCCTCGTCGGTGCCAGAGGCAACAACCAACTATGGGCAGGATTTATGCTAGAGCGGGAAAGATGATCAGAGTAAGGTACAGACAGCAGCAGAGACAACCGACTTGAGGACCAGGTCAGGTGCAGACAAACAGTCCTTAGACATTCAAGTTCCACACTATAGGAGAGTTAACAGGCTGATGATCAAGATAAATACAGACAATCTGACTACAAATCCGGTCCAAACAATAAGCAAAGATAATCCTAGGCATGACAGATGTCAGAGACAGAGAGCCAAACCTGTCAGGATATAGATGGAAGTTCTGAGTCCCCTTTAAAGGTGGTTATTGAGGTTCAGGTGTGCACAGCAGAGCCCTAAGCTGCATTGTTGAGTGACAATCAGCAAATTAAGTCTTATCAATGCAGGGAGGTTATAGGAAACATTAAGATTTGCATATAAGTTCAGCTGCTTATATCTCAGATCTGCTGATCTTTTTTCTATTTTACACTCAGATTGAATTCCCAAGGGTTGTGACACGGTCACTAAATGTTGGTGCCAAGGCATTTTCTAAACTAAGATACTTGCTGAGGAGAAGCAGGATTCTGCCATATTAGGGCCCTTGCAAATGCAGGCATGGCCCAACTGCCCACCTGCCATGAAAGAAATACGTGGCTGTTCCCTGACTTTCATATTCTCATAGCCTCTGAACCAGAACAACAGCAAAAAGTTTCCCAGCACACTCACCAGCCAGCTTGCAAAAAAAACGTGTCTCACCACTTAGGTTAAAAACAGAGGTCTTAAATACACGTCTTCTGCAGAATAGGTGAAAGCTGCCCCCTGGCGAACCTGCAGCCAAATTTGATCTTTTGTCCCATGTGCTCCAAGATGGAGACTCTCAAAAGGTCAGAGTTAGGACCGCACTACACAGAGGGGCCTTGACGAGGCGGTGCGGCTTTCACATATTCTGCAGTGTATCTAAAACCTCTGTTTTAACCTTAGCCGTTAAGTGTGCTGGGAAACTTTTTGCTGTTGTACTGTATAAAACCCTTCCATGTGCACCTTGCTTGAAAACTGGTTCTAAACCAGAACACACAAAACAACTGAAAGCCAGACACAAAAGTTAGAATTCCTCTAAATATTTATATCAATAGCATGTCAGTGTCTCAGAAAGTATTGGAGCCAAAGCGCTGGCATTACAGACAGGCGTCTTCGAAAAGTTGCAGTCAGTAATGTCAGATTACCATTAGCATGACGCTTTGATCTCGGTCATGTCATATGCCCCTTTTTTAGATCACATATATTATTGGACGTCACCTGGAGCAGATTACTCCCCCCAGCACACAGATGTAACACTGTCACCTCCTCGGTCTGACCTGAATTCTATGCAGGCCCGCTGTTTATGTATATACACCCTGTGCTGACCTCTGCTGGATGTATATGGGAAGCGTTCACCATTATTTCACCAGCGGCCAAACTATAGTTACATAACAAATGAGCTCATCCAACATCGATATCGCTGATCAATCTCATTAAGAAAAAACAATACTGGGCCGAGACTGGCCTGTGTCCCTCCTTACATGGAAGAGTCCATGAACCCATCGCACTCCTGACCGCTTACTCCAAAAAAAGACAAAATGGGTGCTGCGGTGAACAACGGGTGGCAGCCGTTACAAACATAAGTAGAGTTGCGATGCAAAAAACATCTGTTTATTGACGTGGTGCAGCATATCATACAAATGCAACTAACGTTTCGGGGGCACACAGGATCCCCTTCCTCAGGCAAAGACATGTGGTGAAAGTGCAAACAAAAACACATATATATAGCACAAGACCGTGACAAACAGACCAAGCACGGAACTCCCTGAGACCCAGTGACATCACTAGAACGTTGCACTCCCGCCAGAATAAAAAATCATCATACAGGATAATAACAGAAATCTAGCTGGCGTAGCCAAGCTCTCTAATGTGAAGTCATATCAAGGTATAGAAAGATACCAGAGAGAAATGCCCCCCCCC